TTTTTTTTTTTGTATTGATTTAGTTCAAGAGGCCCTTCCTATGCTTATTTCGATGACCCAGCCTATTCTGTTAAGTACCTAGCTGGGCCTTTTCTTGTTCCAATGAGTTTTAGCCAAACCATACCTGGTTTGGAAACATAAATATTTGTTCTTTATTATATGCTACTGAATATTAAGGACTAATTACCTTCATTTTCTGATTACTTTCTCATTTGAGTATCATTAAAATATTGATGTCCCCTTGAAAAAGCGCGCACACACACACACACTGCATAATATTATTTTATGATATGTTTCCCAGGCGGTGGAAGTAGCAGGGGTAGGAGGCAAAGAAGGGGAGAAGATGTTATTCATCCTTTAAAGGTGTCCCTTGAGGACCTGTATAATGGGACCTCAAAGAAACTATCTCTCTCGCGTAATGTGCTCTGTTCCAAATGCAAGGGGTAAAGTTTTTGTGGCCATGATACATGTCTACACTGTCATTTCCCCACCTTTATTTTTTGGTTTAAAGTAGACGTGTTTTTTATTTTGAGGGGAGTGCAGGAAAGGATCGAAATCCGGAGCTTCTATGAATTGTTCGGGCTGTCAAGGATCTGGGATGAAAGTCTCTATCAGGCATCTTGGCCCTTCTATGATCCAGCAAATGCAGCATCCTTGCAACGAGTGCAAGGGAACTGGTGAAACCATAAATGACAAGGATCGTTGCTCACAGTGTAAGGGTGACAAAGTTGTGCAGGAAAAAAAGGTTCTTGAAGTGATTGTCGAGAAGGGCATGCAACATGGTCAGAAAATCACTTTCCCTGGGGAGGCCGATGAAGCGGTAAGTTTAGGAATAGAACTATTATTTATTTATTTATTTTTAAATTTTGTTCATGCCCATGAGGTTTAACCGGTCCTTTTATTTTCTCGGCCGGGTCTCAAATCTATTCTGTGTTACTTTCTGCAGCCTGACACTGTTACAGGAGATATCGTCTTTGTACTTCAACAGAAGGAGCACCCTAAGTTTAAAAGAAAGGGTGATGATCTATTTGTTGAACATACCTTGACTTTGACTGAAGCACTCTGTGGCTTCCAATTTATCTTAACTCATCTTGACAACCGTCAACTCCTTGTCAAATCTGAACCTGGGGAAGTTGTCAAGCCAGGTAATTCATTAGAAATTTGCAGTTTTGAATGCTCGCTTAACACCGACACTTCAATTGTAAATCTACTTGGGTATTAAAACAATAATATATATATTCCTTTTTTCATGTTCTTTCTTGTTTTTTTTTTTTTTGGTGTGCCAGATCAATTCAAGGCTATTAATGATGAGGGAATGCCCATGTACCAGAGGTCGTTCATGAAAGGGAAACTGTACATACAGTTTTCCGTGGATTTCCCAGAGTCATTGAGTCCCGAGCAAAGTAAGGCTCTGGAGGCTGTGCTTCCAGCGAGGGCTCAGACCCGATTGACGGATATGGAGTTGGATGAATGTGAGGAGACCACTCTGCACGACGTCAACATGGAAGAGGAGATGCGTAGGAAGCAACAGGCAGCTCACGAGGCGTACGAGGAAGATGACGACATGCACGGTGGGGCACAGAGAGTGCAGTGCGCCCAGCAGTGACAGGTGATGATGTAATAAAATCTCCTCACTTGCATGTAAGGGACAAGGTAGATGAGACAACTACTACTATTCTTTGCTCTACTATCGTGTGTTGTGATTTGCTTATGCACTTGAGTTATTTGATTTTTATGCACTATTTTATTTTCGATTTGCGTATGCGCTTGGATAATTTCAGTAGCTAAGATGATGATCGTTTAACATACTCTGCACTACCTGTGGTGCCTGCTTGGGCTAATTTCATTAGCTAAGATGAATGTGTTTAACATAATGCACTATTTGTGGTACATTACCTAGGCTAATTTTCGAAATTGAATGAAATTTCATGGTGGCTTGTATCAAGGTTCATACCAAAGGTACGGGATTTGATAGGATTACCCAAGCAACGCTAAAGTTTGCAAACTGCAAATGATTGTGCTCTTGGTCGACCATTAGTTTTTGTCACTGCAGCCAATTATTGTACTTATCTCCCTTGTTTGTTTAGGTTGTTGACATGATTAAGAGTGGAACATGAAATTCGATAAACCTTATCACAAGCATAGTTTGGATGACACTTATGCTAGAGAAGAAGTGGTAGGGAAAAATCTGATGATACAAGAATTACCTGACGTTAGTCTGAGGACACGTGGCGGCGATTGATGCTCCGATGTCGTCTCTTTTGCTCCGATGCCTGCAAAACAGAGCTTCGGGGTTGTCCTCATGGGTAGACAGACCCTCTGATGCCTAAGTTAGAATCGGTTTTAGGTTTTTTGGGATGGTGGATGCGAAATGAGTAGAAGGGAGAGTATGGAGTAGAGAGAATGAATCTTACCTTGACCTAGGTTGTCCTTTTATAGGAGTCAGACGACCTAGGTCTCCCTTTTGCAGACGGAAGTCTTCTCAGCCCATTAGCTTCGTGGGTTGACCCCAGACCTCGGGCCCAAAGTAAAGCTCCTCTGGACGTTGGACCTACAGTAACTCTCTCTAAGACGTTGGCAGGACCTTAGGTCTGAATTGAGGTTGGGCTTCGATCTTAATCCTGGACTCTTAACGGTTTTCAGATCGCACGTGTCTTTATTCTCTCATGCCACGTTCCGTCTAATAAGTGTATATTTTTTTCCTTATCACAAAATTTATTAAGGGTGTTCAAGTTTGGATCACCTAAGCAAAGTTGTTGAGGGTGAAAGTAATATTTGATTGTTCTAAGTTTAGATGACACATATAACTCTGGTTTTAAAAATCACAACAGTTGGATTTCTTTTTATGTTTTATTCTTATTGATAATTGAATGTGCGATATTTATCTATGAAATTAATAACAAAATTTAAAAACGTGATATATACATTATATATTTTATAGTTGGGTTTAAGTGAGAAATGTGTTTAGTGAAACAAATAAGAATAAGTTGTAGCTATTAGATTAGATGATTTAATGGCTAAAAAAAAGTTTGAACGATACATTCATTAAGGGTATTATAAGGGTATTATAGTAATTGTCTACACCCATATAGTAGGACACACACACCACACAATCATCTCATTCGTGGAGCCCACCAGAAGCACCCCAACCAATTTCTCTCCTTCCACTCCCGATGCATCGTCTTCTTCAACCATTTTTCACCCCAGCCAATTTCTCAATCCAACCACCATTGTTCGTCGTCATCGACTGTCGTCGTCACCGCCACCACTAAACTCGCCGACACTAAACTCGCTCGACCAGAGGCGGCGTCGCGAGGTGGAGCAGCACTAGGAACTCGACGACTGTCATGTCGTCTGACATGGTTGCAGGACCACTCCTCGTTGGTGTGATGAAGATCGCGTGTCATCATGGTGCCACTAATGGCAACCGTCCAAATCCCGCCACCGCTACCTTCATCTCATCCTTAGCTGCCTCGAATATATCATTTGTGCACAATTTGATGCCGCCGCCACCTTCCAAATTCGATTTGATGATTCCTGCGAGTTAGCTATCTCCACTGCCGTCTATTCCCTTCCCGCCGCCGGCTCCACCTGTCCCGCGCCGTCCAACTAGGCCATAGATGGAACAAGCATCACATGAATTAGGGATTGGGAATTTTTTCAGCAATTAGGGAAAATAGTATTTTTTTTGTAAATCATAAAGAATCAAGGGACTTGTTTGCAAATTAAATTTTTTTAACTATATTGCACTTTAGTTCATGGGTTAAATTTATAAATTAATAAAAGTTGCTAGCTGTGCTTTAATGTTCAGTGGCACCTTATTGCATTTGGGATTGCACATTAAAAATATTTCTGTATAAACTAAATGCTAATTAAAAATACATATTATTAAAATATTCTAAAATTGAAATGCACATAAAAAATATCCGCTCGATCGATTGCACAATAATACTAGACCAAATGCACATTATTGTCTATGGAAATGCACATCGTTAATTTTTGTATTTCATATATTGTGTGTTTACAATAAAAATTAGTGTAAAAATCTTAAATAAAATTACTCAAAAATTGAATATTTTTTTTATAATAGAAAAACTAATTTATTTATAATAATTATGGTAATTTGCTTAACCGTCCAAATAACCCATGTATTTCAGTTCGGTTTTAATTTGGTTTGGCAATAGAAGCACACTAGTGACTGAAACACTGCACATTATTGATAGACATATTGCACATTAATGTGCGACATACCATATTAACGATCAAAATTGAAATAACTATAATTTTTCTGTCTGAAATTATATATTTTGGTTATTTTTAAAATTTAAGTTATTTTGACTTCGATAATTTCAACTGAAATAAAGTTATTTCGATAGTTTTATAATTTATATATTTCGATTATTTCGATCAAAATTGAAATAACAGAGCTATATGAAAAATATTATTATTGTGATGTATATATTTTGAGTAATGCTATAGATACATAATGTTGTACATATAGGTGTACATAACACTCACATTATGTGGGACCTACTAAAATTAAAAAATCAAGTGGACCACACTCCATGTGAGTGTTATGTATATCTTTATGTACATTTATTATGTACATGTAGCATTTTTCATGTATTTTTATGTAGTGCGAGTGCACATTATGATTATATGGATTGCACAATATCAAGAAATGAAATTTTATATTTCGGTTCAATTAGTATTTTTCTTAACTTTAAAAATTCACTAATATTGGTTTTTAAAGTCACCTTAATTTTTTTGATTCAAACAAGGATTCGAAAGATTCAAACAAGGATTCGAAAGATTAGGTTAAAATAACTAAAATAACAGAACTATATGAAAATTATTATTATTATTATTATTATTATTATTATTATTATTATTATTATTATTATTATTATTATTATTATTATATTTTTCTAAGTGAACAAAATTGTGCATTATGCAAAGCGCTAAAATTTTGGTATTTTTATGAATTTTTAATGTGTATACACACTCATGCTTTTGTTCAATTTATTTATCGTTGTTGTGCCTATTCTGCAAATATTAAACTTTTAATAAAATTATATATTTTAACCATCGATTGGAATGAACTATATTGAAATTTCCAAATATTTAAATTGAATAAGCATAGATATATTGTGCAAATTATTTATCACGATCCTAGATTTGTAATAAATTAGATATTTAATTATTAATTAAACTAGTATATAATTAAACTTTTTAAAAATTGCAAATTAGTCCATAAATCAATCATCGATATCAGAAAGTCGTGAACTCGTCTCTCTCAACCACAAACTTTTTTTCCCGGCCTTCCCTTCTATTCATTTCACCGTCGTCATCGCCGCAAAAGTATTGACTCCCGACTCATTCCTCTGAAAATAAGAATACTGGCACTGGTCCTGTATTCACAACTTTTTTTTTTTTTTTTTTNNNNTTTTTTTTTTTCATATGGCATAATTTCACGGTTAGCATTCTCGGTCACAGCTTCAAGCGGAGTTCACAACAACCAGGTGGACCTCCTGGCGGGGCTGAACGGTGGGCAACGAAGATGGACAGAGGGAGAAAGTGGCGAAGTGTTCGACTGGGAGAGGAGGACTGCATTGTGATGGAGCTTGACGGGCTAGCGGCAGCTGGGATTGTGGTGGCCGACGACGGTGAAAGAGTGTGAGTGGGTGATACGTGTCTGCGTGAGGGACGGAGTGTGTATGTGTGTGTGAGGGAGAGAAAGAGATTTTGGTGGGACCACTATCCTCATATTTTAACCATTGACCAAATTTGATCACATAATTACAAAATTGTCACCGAGAATTTGACTGAAATTAGTAACTTTTGACTTCATATATTAACTATTGATATAATAGATCCAATGCTTTAAAATTGTTCTTATTTCTTTCACTATTTCTCTTTCTCATATCACATGATTCATTCTATATATATATATATATAGTTTATAATACTTTATAATTTATATTTATGCACGTGCACACAATATCTTCTTTTACTAAATGGGACCACCGAAACCGAAACACAATAACCTAAGAGAAGAATTTCTCTCTCTAAACCAAAAATCGCCAAATCGTGCCCTAGCAAAAGAAGACTCTCAATCGCCGCCGCGGGTGCCTCCCTTCTGCCGGCCGACCGGCAACCTCTACAGCGGCACTGCTCTATACCGAGGTGGCGGCGAGCTCAAAGTTCGGTCATCTCACACTCCGCGGCATGGCGTCTCTCCGTTTCCTATGGGCCATGGTGGTTCTCGAGGGTGCTCCGACGGTTGTTCGGCGAGTTGCGGTCACCGCCGTTTTCCTTCGCCGTGGTGGGGGAATGGACTGAGACCGACGCCGTATAGTTCCTTGGATCTTGCCGTCTCCTGGTGTTGGGGTGTTGGGATTCGACGAGGGGTGGTCGACTGCCATCCGGTTTGGTGTTGGGGGGCTAGATCGGTGTTGGGCTCTCGGTGTAGTCCGTGTTGGTTCCGTTCAATGGAGTTCGGGCTCATTTTGGCCCGGGTCTAGTTAGGCCTTTGAATGCAGTTTCTAGATTTGGGTCGGGTCGATTTTCCTTCTTTGGGGTTCGTGTCGTTTGGTAGTTCTCGGTTGGTTGTGGGCGGTTGCAGAGGGCTTTTGTCCCTTTTTTTCATTTTTGTGTTGTTTGTGCGTGTTGTTCAGTGTGGGTAGTTTGTTTTGTTTTGTGTTTTAGTTGTTGTGTTGTTGTTTCTTCTTTTTTGGGGCGTGTATTCTCATTTTGAGAGCGTGTATTTTTCTATTGGGAGTGTGTTTATTCTCCTGTTGGGAGCGTGTTATTCTCCTGTTGGGAGCTGTATAGTTTGTTGCATTGTGGGTGCGTTAGTGTAGTTGCTTCTAGGCTATATTCGTATAGGCCTTTTAGATTCAGCTGTGTGGCTATTTGGCTATTGTAGTTGTTTGCTAGTTGCAATTACGTGGTTTTTGTTTTATAATATATTTATCGTTTCGAAAAAAAAAAAAAAATAAATAAATAAACAAATCTAAAGACGAGCTGCCCTACATTTCTTCTTCTTTATCTCGGATTTTTGTTTTCTTTATTATATTAATCTTTCTCTCTCCTCTCAGCATTTGAACATTTCTTTCTCATCCATCTCTTTTATCTCCAAAGTTCCCACCCACCTCTTCTCTCTCTCTCTCAATCATGTTAGGGGCTGCTCACAAAAGTCACACGCGTGATTAGATAATATATTATCTTATACTACTAAACCACGGTTTTCCCTAATGATTGATATAAAATTTCAGACATATTCATGGAAGAAGGAAAGAGAGGTCTCCACATAGTGATGTTCCCATGGCTAGCCATGGGCCACATCCGGCCATTCTTCCGACTTTCCGTCGAACTAGCTCTAAAGGGTCACCGGATTTCCTTCATATCCACTCCGGCAAACCTGCAAAGAGCCGTCAAAGTGCCTCCACATTTAGCCCACCTCATCACCCTCGTCAGCTTTCCTTTGCCGCAAGTCGACCACTTACCTCTCCATGCCGAGTCATCCATGGACGTGCCGATGCCTAAACAACAGCTCCTCAAGGTAGCGCTCGACTTGCTCCAGCCGTCCGTACGTTCCTTTCTGGAGAGCGTGATGCCTAAGCCGGATTGGATCGTGTACGATTATGCCAGCCATTGGCTGCCCGCTCTAGCGCAGGAGATTGGGATATCGACCGCCTTTTTCAGCCTCTTCACCGCCGCTTTCATGGCATTTTTAGGGCCGCCGTCTGCTCTGATCGCGAGCCAGAGGTCGACTGCCGAGGACTACACGGTCGTGCCCGACTGGATCACTTTCCCGAGCAATATGGTTTTCCGCCGGCATGAGTTGGCAAAGAATATGGAAAAAGGTACCCCAAAACATTTTCTAATGGTAACATGTTTTTAATCCTAAATGGTGATGAGTTAGGATTAAGTAAAATTTCATGATTACAGATCTTGACGGACACGACTACGACTCGGGCACATCGGATTCGATCCGGTTCGGCCTCTCCATAGACGGGAGCCAAATTGTGATCTTCCGGTCGTGTCCAGAGTTCGAGCCCGAGTGGTTCCGTCTCGTATCCCAACTCTACCGAAAACCGGTGATTCCAATCGGCGTCCTCCCGCCTAAAGAGGACGACCAATTGGAGGAGGAAGCCGACGCGGAGTGGCAAAGGATCAAAGAATGGTTGGACGCCCGAGGAGAAAGCTCGGTTGTTTATGTGGCGCTCGGGAGCGAGGTCACGTTATCGAGTGGAGAAGTCCACGAGCTGGCCCTCGGTCTAGAGCGGTGTGGGTCTCCTTTCTTTTGGGTCCTCAACAACAGCAACAGGGGTCTCGAGATGCTCCATCAGGGGATGGTGTGGGCGAAGTGGGCCCCACAGGTGAGGATACTCGGCCACCCGGCTGTCGGGGGATTCTTGACGCACTGCGGGTGGAACTCAGTGACCGAGGGCCTTGGCTTTGGGCGTGTCCTCATTCTACTGCCCGTGATGCATGATCAGGGGATGAACGCGAGGCTCCTAAGGGAGAAGGGGGTCGGGCTAGATATACCGAGAGATGAGGGGGATGGGTCGTTTACGTGGGCCCACGTGGCGGACACAGTGAGGGCGGCGATGGTGGGGGAGGAGGGGAGGAGGGCGAGGGAGAAGGCAAGGGAGATGAAGGAGTTGTTTGGGGATGAAAGTAGAAGTAGGGCTTACGTGGACAATTTGGTTGAATGTATGGTGGGGAGTGTGTAATAAAGCAGTTTTGCAATAAGACTAATTATTCATCCTCATGTTCGAATTAATAGGGAAATGCTAAGGTCACATTATGGAACCATTTCGTTGGAGTTTGTAACCGTTAGATCATCATGTAACCGTCAGAGATAGTTGATCTAACGGTTACAAATCCCGACGGAATGGTTCCGTAACGGGACTGTAGCATCTTCCCGAATTAATATTTTTAATGTACAATAATTATATTTTAACATTTTTCATCCTTTTATTTTACTAACAATAATTATATTGTTTTAAGGAGTAGGAATACTTATGAAAACTGTATGAACCGGTTTCAAAGCTGATGATAAGATCCTTATAATTCTTAGGCTCACAACATACCTTCCGGCTTGAGAGTACCGTTCGAGTTTCGGCGTAAGCAATTTCCTGTCATGATTTCTTATGTTATGACAATCAATAAAAGTAAACACGACACTGTTATTTTTTCCCCCAACAATAATTTTCAAACCACATAGCAAGCGTGTAAATTCGCCATAAATTACTGTGTCGGGCCTAAAATAAATAGATAAATGGAATATTATCGTCCATTGTCTTTCTTAAAACCACCTTGTCGATTACTTCAGCTCTTGAATACCAATAAATACTTCCTTCCATCGTTTGGGTTATTGTAGGATGAAATACGCTGTCATAAGGGCTTTCATTACATCAGTGTAGTGCAATCTCATTACGTACCTGCATTCTGTCAACCAAAGAGCCTTTTACATGGTGACACTTTCGAAATGTAAATGTCCGGCAGTGAACCGGCAAGAGGCCCTCAACAACGCATACTCGTCCCTTGGAGAAGAAGAAAGCTTCCAAATATGTTCCATCAGGTCGAACCACTCTCCGATTTCTTCGGGTCATAATTCAAGAACGTTACGACTTAGCATTCATGGAGGTCATGACCCAACTTTCGTCAAACTAATCTTTAGTCTTTATTATTTAGGCCCAGAGCTCTCGATTTCCTTTTCCCTGATGGCCGGATTAGAAAAACGAAACCAGTGTTCTCCATTCAAGTCCAGCTATACCCGGTCTCCTTTTTCATCCCTTTTGTTATTTCCCTTACTCGGGAAGCTTCCTTCCACATATCCGAGCCCGCATAGATATTCGATAGCAAGACTCGAGCAGAAGTATCGTTTGGGTCAGTACTAATAATTTTTTCAGCAACATAAACACCCAAATTCAGATCTCTATTCTCCACGCAACCATATAAGAGACAGCGCCAGACCACTTTGCTCGGCTCCCCTGGAAGGCTCCTCACGAAATCATAGGCTGCTCTCATTTGGCCCTTTCGGGCAAATAGACTAACGATGCAGGCTATGTGATCTGTCCGCGGAAAAATTCCAAAATCACTCGTCATGGAACGAAAGTGGTGCAGTGCTTCCTCCATAGCCCCCACGTGCCCACATGATGATAACACCCCAATAAACGTTCCATCATTCGGCTTTACTCCATTTTTCAGCATGATGTCATAGATATCCAAAGCTTCCTTTCCAAAACCATGTCGGGCATAACCTGAAGTAACAATTTGAAGTAGAGAAACTTATTCAAATAGTTCTAACTCGTGTATTAGAAAAAAGCAAATGAAAAAACAAATATATTTTGGTATTTTTGAAGTTTTTCTATTAGTAATATTATATTATCCTAGCTACCATATATAGATCATGTATTCAATTTTTCAAGTTCAATTCGACAATCATCAAATGAACGAGACATATCCGAGCTCGAATGAGCTACTGTTCGTGAAAATTTGGTGCACCTGAAATCATGGTGTTCCACGTGATCATATTCTTATTAGGAAGAATGTCGAAAATTTTCCGGGCATCTCCCATCCGCCCGCACTTAGCATACATATCGACAAGAGCACTACCAACAACAACATTGAAATCCATTCCCGGTTTCACGATCCGGCAATGAGTTTGCCTGCCCCACTCAGCTGCCGGTAGATCACCACAAACGCGCAAAAGACACGAATAGGTGTAGATATCAGGGTCAAAACCGTCCAAAACCATGTTCTGCACGCATATAGCCGCTGTCTTATGATGGCCAAAGCCGACACATCCAGCTATCAAGGAATTCCAGCTCACGACATCACGTGAGCCCATTTCATCAAATATCATGAAGCACTCATCAAGAAAACCGACCCTTGCGTAAAAATCCAAAACGGCGTTGGACACAAAAGTGAACGAATCGAATCCCCCTTTCTTAATCAAGCAATAGAGCTGTACCCCGCCTTGGACTTCCTCCTCCCTACCAAAGGCCCCAAGAACAGAAGCAAAAGTCTGCTCGCTCGGTTTCAACCCAGAAGAAAGCATCTCCGTATAAAGACCTATTGCCACTCTGCATTTCCCAACTTGCACGCAACCTCCGATCAGTGCAGTCCATGCTGTCACGTTTGGCCTATCCGACTCCCTCAGTGCCTTGCCCGCCAACTCCACTTGCCCACATTTTGCGTAAAAATTAATCAAACTCGTCGAAGCAAACTGGTCCATCCTCACACCACGCTTGATACCTATGCACTGCATTTGCCTACCGGCTTTCAGATTCTCCAATGCAGCACAACACCCTAAAATACTCCCGTACAGAAACTCGTTGACCTCAACTCCTAATCTTGAATATCTCGTGAAAATCCTCAAACCTTCCTCATACTCCCCACACTGCACGTAACCAGTCACAAGGGAAACACAGCTAACAGTATCCGGCTCGGCCATTGTCTCAAAAACCAACCTTGCCGACCTCGACAATTTGCATTTACCGTAAAAGTTGACCAAGCAGTTGCACACGAAGCTGTTTAAGCTTATTCCTGTCCTATATATTCGTCCATGTATCTCTTTCCCACTCCTCAAGGCATTAGCTTGGGCACAAGCTGAGATAGCGGCAACATAAGTGTACTCGTTCGGGGAGATCTCTTGATCGAGGACCAATGATCTGAAAAGATACAGGGCTTTTTCGGTAAGGCCCAGTTTGGAATAAGCGGAAATAAGTGATGTCCAAGTGACGAGGTTCCTTACAGGCATTCTGTCGAACAGCTTCTGGGCATAGTCGATGTGGTCCAATTTCGTGTACATTGCAAGCAAATGGTTGCTGGTTTGCACGTCTTGGTGGGCCCCGGATACGATGACACAAGCATGGGCTGCTCTGCCGTTGAGGATTGATTTTGTTTCGGCGCATGATCGAATGAGGCGGGACAATGACATGTTTTAGATTTGTTTCATCGGAGCATCTTTAGTTTATAGGTTTTTCGACGGGTTTTAGATTTGTTTCATCGGAGCATCTTTAGTTTATAGGTTTTTCGACGGGTTTAAAAATACAAAATCTTCGCAGGTTTACCATGACAAAGTGAAGGTAGCTCGATTGAATATGGAAGTTTTCTTTTTTTCTTTTTTTTTTTTTTTTGGATCCAAATTTATTTCATCATGAAATAAATAATTTCCTCTCATTTATTTAGGATTTTTGAACTAAATTCCTAAAACATTTTTTATATTCTTATTCGATCCATAACTAGTACGTACTCGTGCGATGCACGGAACATAAATATTATATGAGTTATTTTCACATGCTTTGTCTGTTTAAGTATGTAAAGCAATAGGATTATCATCTATTTTCCATCTCTTTTAATCAACATAAGTATAATAAACAATAAGGTTATAATATATTTTGCACTCTTATCTACATTATTTTTTTAGTCAAAATATTAAAATAATTAATATATTATTTCACTAACACATTTATCCTAATTTGAATTTAATTTTAGTATATATATTTATTCCTTGATATAAGAGAGAATAACAATTTTACTTTGTTCACCATATAATACTTAATTATTATTTTATTATACACTTTATGTCATATAATGTCATTATTATTTATAAAGTTGTAAAAGTTGTGTTGATACCCAATTTGACTCCGATTAATTATATAATAAACAAAATAATAAAATACGACCCGATAACCGAGGAACCGATAATACAAGATAAATAAATATACAAGCAGGTACACAAGACTAATCATCTAA